CATCCATTTGGTTTTTTTCCCCCTCCTACTGCGGAAGCAAACCACCATGCCCTGGGTGTGTGCGTGCCTCTGCACTTGATGCCGTGAGCCACCGTTTGTCCCACCCTTTCTCCCTGCATTCTGGTTCCTTTTCGAATAGAAGCTATGCGCCAGGATCACCATACTGACACGTTGACACTGTATCTCCATCTCTGTCAGACCGATGTATGGCCGTTACAACCGGAAGCATGATGCTCCTTGTCTTTGCTGCATAAGCAAGCGCAGTATTCAATGTTATACACGGATATTAATGGTGTATTTCTCCCCTATCTGGGTCATCCGTCATTCGGACCAGCCTCTATATCTCATGCCTGCCACTTGTCAGACCTATCCCAGGTGTAGGCTCACGCCTGGAATTCTAAGCCTATGGGTTACCGCCAGCGTCCGATCAAACATTCTATGACAAGAGTGGACTTTCCTGCCCATTCTGTGTAAATTCATCCCGGTACCCGACTGTATGCACGGAGTGTCCATACCCACAGTAAATCTGTGGTGACAACAAGGGCATTGCGTCTCGACAACTCATTCCACAGGCTATGTTTGATTCTGATGGGCGACTGCTTCTAGGCTGGGTCAGCTAGCCAACCCCCTTGCCGCTGACGAACGGATGCGCCTTGATGAGCGCCGAGAATAGTTGACCAAGCCTGAGAATTACGCGCCAAAACCCAGGGATTATGAGGAGGGCCAGCGGTGCATCGGCCCCCATGTTCCCTGCTGTGGGCTCGTTGAAACACCCACTTAGTCTGTTGCAGCCTGTTGGAGTCCAGAGTGACACGCTAATCATAAGTGGGATACTCACCTACCAATCACTGCTGATGCAATATCTTTGGAGAGTGACAGGGCGACTTGGTCAGAGGTTCGTTGAGAGAGAGAGCTCCTGGAAGGGCACGATTCCTACGTATAGACCAACAACGTGTAAGCAGTAGGCAGGTAATTCTTTGAATCTGGACCACCAGAGTCCCTGTGCAATTACATTATGGAAATCGGGAATGATACCTCTAATGGAGCAGCGAAGTGACTGGCTGCTAAACTAGCTACTCTGCCCATCTATACATAGTTAGCTAGTACTGAAATAGTCAAAGCACGCTTAACTTTACTACGGATACAAACATGACTAATCCGCATCTAGTTCCCCGCGCTCTCTGGCAAAGAAATCTTTCCACACACATTCGTCGAATCGCTTGAGGATACTGAATCTTCCCTTGCCGGACTTGCATTGTTATCGCGTTGCTGCTAATCTTGTCGTGCTGGCCCCTGATTAGAAGTTATCGTACAAAATGGTATACTATTACACGTCAAAGGTCGTTGACCCCTCGGCTTTCATCTACGTTGGGAAAGATAAATTTGAGAGTACGACGACCATGTTCTAGTCTGGAACATGCGCATAGTCTGACGATTTTTGTGGGCAGATGAGGACCTTATAACACATGGGTTGGAGAAGGACGTCTGGTACCGTCACCCTTGCGCCGTCGCCGACTACCTTTCGCAAACAGCGTGCTGACGCTTGCATCTGGGTGTTTACCTTGTAGGGTGTGTTCACCACCCTGTTGTGCCAGAGATGCAAGAATCTAACCGGAGCATGATGCTACATCCAGTTCCACGTCGATAACCTGTCCAGTGCCCACGTATATCTCCGCCTCCGGGAAGGTGAAACATGGGACAACATCCCGCAGCAGCTGCTGGAAGATTGTGCACAGCTTACCAAAGCGAATTCGATCGAAGGTTAGCAATGACGACTGAGCAGCCGAAAAACACCTATGAGAGGGGAACTAAGTCGCAGAGCAGGCAACAAGAAGGACAATATAACCGTGATCTATACGCCATGGTCGAATCTTATGAAGGATGGATCTATGGCGACCGGCCAGGTCTCTTTCCACAATCCTAAGATGGTCCGCAAGGTCCTTGTCCGACAACGGGAAAACCCAATTGTCAACCGATTGAACAAGACGCGTATTGAAAAGTTCCCTGATCTCAAGGCGGAGAAGGATGAATATCTAAAGAAGAAGCAGAAAGAGGAACGTAAGGTAAGAGAGGAGCAACGATCGAGGGAAAAGCAGGAACGGAGAGAACGAGAACAGTTGAAGTGGCAGAAAGATCATGCCTATGATGACCTGATGAGCGAGGAGAACGTTCAGGCGAGCAACAATCAGGACCGAGATCCCGATTTCCTCGATGACTTTATGTGATAGCAAGAGGGTGAGTGCAGATCGGTCATTAGAGGAACAAGCCGGATACTCGGATTTCCATGGGCAGTTGCTTCAGAGCTATGAATCGCAACAACGTCGTGACATTTGGTCGAACGGCAATTGCGATCTGTGCGATCGATGGACATCCTGGGCATATCATCGGGCGTAGTGGTTGGGGTCAATATGCGGTGACCTCACTGAATGGAGGACCCTACAATAGACTGGAAAGATTCATGAATTCATATGCTAAAATATACGAAGAAGTCCACGCGAGAAGCTGCTCGATGTGGCATGATATACTTTGTAGTGGTCGAAGTCTTGCGGCCTATCCCGTAAGGCGCCGTGGAGGTGGTTCTGCGTACCTAAGCGAGAGCTGCGGACGGCGGAAGCAATCTCCCTGCGCTAGCGATGTTGACAGCTATGGCCCCTACCTCATAACGACACGCAAGCCCGTCCGGCGCAGTGACCATCGCAGCAGCCCTAGAACGAAACGCCTTCCTCCTAGGAAGTCGGAAGAAGAAAAATGCCCGAAGGTCCGTTTGTTGATCGCGCCTCCCTACGTTTCTCCTAATTTCCGGCGTTCCTTCGTGCTCACGATTGACCATTGTCAACCAGGCGCAAAACAGAAGAACAAGAAGAAGAACAAGGGGGCCGCTAAGCCCAAGGAATTAGATGAACGCCCAGAAAGTAGTTCTAATAAGGAATCACACGAGACGTCGGAGGCCATGCAACACACTGTAAGGACTCCCACATAAACATAGTCTCGAAGACCTGCGGGCACTAAATCTGGATCATGAGATGTGCAGGGTGATACAAACACGGAGAACGTCGAAATTACAGATGACGAAATTGCCGGAAATGAAAATGGGATTGAGTCAACTATCGGCTCGACAAAGGAGGCTACGGGGGACCCGGAGTCCTCCGTCGCTCACGATACGGCTGAAACCGAGGAGGACGCGAATAAGTCTGGCGGTCCTGATATTCAACAATCGAACGAACGGCTCGAGGCCCTTGTGAGAGATCGTGATACGTTGCGCGCAGAGGTGACCGATATGCGGAAATCGTTGGAGGAAATACAAACCAAACACCATGCAGACATGGAAGCTCTGCAAGAGAGACTAGATGACGCTGAGAGCAAGAAGGAGCATGCGGAAACGCAGTTCCAGAAACTCTTGGAAAGGGTGAATACGATCAAGTCCCAGCTTGGAGAGAGACTCCGGGAAGACGCAGTATGTTCTACCGCCTCAAGTCGAACCTCCGTTCACTCTTGACTAAACCTCGGATAGGAAGAAATTGCGCAAGCGAGATCGAGAATCGAAGAGCTGGAAGAGCAGAATTCGACCTTACAAGAGGAAACCCAACACAAGTCTACTGAATTAGAGCAACTATCGCAAGCAAACAGCGAGATGTCGAAAGAGCTTTCAACATTGCGGGACCGCACAAGTCTATCACAACAAAATTGGCTTAAGGAGAAAGAAGAATTGCTTGAACAGGAAAACTACCTACAATCCGAGTTTGAGCAGGCCAAGGAGGCCATGCATAACTGGGAAGTGCTGGCAATGGAGGAGCGGTCAGTCAGAGAAAGCTTGGGCGAGAAAGTCGTAGATCTAGAGGAACAGCTTGCTACCGTGAAGGATGCTTACGAGAAGACTGCTGCCGAACGTGATTCCCAATTGGCCACTGTGGATGGGCTGCAGCGTGCGCTACAGGAGATCCAGACAGGTGAGAGGATAATCGTGTGCAAATGACGACTGCAGATGCTTACAAGGCAATAGCACGTAAAAAGGAACTCCGTGAGCTTGTGGAAAGCTCCGATGCTCAGCTAGAAGAGTTGAAGCACGCGCTTCAAGGCGCAGAGGAGAAAGCCTCGAAGGCCGACAAGGCTCTCCAGGATGCCCAAACAGAGCTTGAGCGGGTACGGCCGTTTGAGAAAGAGGTCAAGGAAAAGAACCTCTTGATTGGGAAGCTCCGACATGAAGCAGTAACGCTGAACGACCACCTGACAAAGGCCCTGCGGTTCCTCAAGAAAGGCAAGCCAGAGGACAATGTTGACCGGTATGTCAGACTTTCGCCAAGAGTCCAAATCTTCCGAAGAACACTGCTTACAAGCTGCTATAGTCATATTGTTACGAACCACTTGTTGCATTTCCTTGCTCTCGACCGGTCAGATCCCAAAAAGTTCCAGATCCTGCAGCTTATTGCCGCCCTCCTAGGCTGGTCTGATGGTGAGCGAACCGCACCGGCGCCTGACATATTTCTACATATACAGTAATGCTGACAATACACAATAGAGCAACGTGAGCAGGCAGGTCTGGCGCGTCCAGGGGCGTCTAGCACGTCTAGCAAACTGAGGGTGCCGAGCACTCCCGTCCACCGCACGCCGAGCAGCCAGACTTTGGCAACGGAATTCCTGGATAATGGGAACTCCAACAAAGAGTCGCTAGCGGAGCTGTGGTCCAATTTCTTGGAGCAGGAGTCGCAGAGTGCCGAGCACTTACCACCAAAGCCGTGAAATAGAGACACTGTGGCTGCTGTCACTGCTGCTCAGAATTCGACCAATCCTAAGTAAAATCCGGGCAGATGCGGGTGTTTTCTTTAATAGGTTGTACGATAAGCAGGCTCTTATCAGAATATGTATTCACCATCACCTTGTCCTAACTTTATATATCTTTTCCTAAAACGGCTGGCGCTCCCCCCCACCGCCTCTGGTTCTGCCGTAACCGTGCCACCCAAAGTAACGGCAAAGCACCGACATCCCACCTCCGGCTTCCCATACATATACAATTAATTCATGCATTCTAGCCTGTTGAGGCCCCGTGTTCTTTCCTATTCGAAGATTATTCGTACGCCTTCAGCAGTCCGCTCCCCAGTGTTGACAATGGCTACCAGTGCTGGTGCGTCTTCTTGTGTCAGGAAAGGTTGACTCAATCAATATCCTGACCATGACTCCCAAATTAGTGCACAAGTTCCGTCCGGTGGTGGTGTCCGGTCCCTCAGGTACAGGAAAATCGACTCTGCTGAAGCGACTGTTCGCGGAGATTCCTGATCGCTTCGGTTTTTCCATCTCGCGTTCGTTCAACCTCCCCTGATTGTCACCCCGTCAGCACGAACGCACTGTAATCTGACCTGGTGTTTTGCGACAATAGATACCACTCGTGCTCCTAGACCGGGTGAGCAGGATGGCCGCGAATACTATTTTACGACAAAGGAGGACTTCTTAGATCTTGTGAGCAAGAACGGCTTCATCGAGCATGCGCAATTCGGCGGAAACTACTACGGCACTAGTGTGCAAGCGGTCAAGAACATTGCGGAGCAGGGCCGTATCTGTATCCTTGATATCGAGATGGAGGTAAGGATCTGTTCATTCTTGTTGCCGGCGAAAGTGATGCCGCGATGCATGGTATAAGCGTTTAGAGAAGATGCTGATAGCATACTACTGGAATAGGGAGTCAAGCAGGTGAAGCGTACCGATCTCAACGCCCGTTTCCTTTTCCTGGCGCCCCCATCGGTGGAGGAGCTGGAGAAGAGATTGCGCGGGAGAGGCACGGAGACTGAGGAGAGCCTGACCAAGCGTCTCGCACAAGCCAAGAACGAGCTCGAATATGCCAAGGAGCCGGGGGCTCACGACAAGGTCGTCGTTAATGACGATTTGGAGAAGGCATATACGGAGTTGAGAGATTGGATCGTTGATGGTGGAAACTTCGGTGCGTCGCAATAGTCGGTTACAGACAGTCTGATGCTGCAGTGGCCATTGCGCGTTTTGATTAGTATGAAGTTTTAGACCATGTGATTCCCATAGACTGTACTGTGCGAAGAACAGTAATGACTCATTGTTTCGAACCAGCTATATTCTCCTGGCGATGCGCAATTAAGGGAATTAAGTACAGGAAATGACGAGACGACGCTTAGCGCTTTCGTTGCTAGCTCTTTTCGACCTGGAATAACCAATTCATATGAAACAAAGCAAGACGAATACCCCTCATTCAATGGTGGAGAGGGTAGGATAAACACTAATACGATAAGGAAAAGCCTGAAGTTAAAGAGGATATCTGTAAGAACATGCCGATAAGAAGGTGGTGCAGTAAAATCAAAACATGGAAAGAAAAGCGACCCTCAAGACTGCATTTCTGGGCCTTTGATGGATCGCGGATACATGGCAATGGTTCGTTTCAAACTGTCGCTCCACGAGACCACCGCCATCGATTCTCATCCAAATTAATAACCGTTCATAGTCATGCGTTGCGAGTTGCGGCTGAGCTCTCTGTCCGCCGAAGGACTGATGGGACGGCTGCTACCGGGGTGGCTCCCAGCGGCACTGCTTTCCTTCAGTGCTAGCAGCTGCTTGGCACGGAAGGTCTCATAGTGGATCTGGCTGGTCGTCTCGATAAGGTCCTGCAAATGAGTGCGAGTGAGGAAGTTCCTCAGGTAGACGAATTCACAGTGGTTCTCATCCTCCACATTGATAACACCCCAGCGGTTTTGACGTCCGCGAACCTGCTGGCCATTGACGACGATGGTGCGTTCGCTACCCACAACAGCAAAAGGAATGATGTCCTGGACCGGCGTTAGAGGCAGAGATAAACCAAATGTTGTGCAACAACGATTCGCGTACCTTGATCTGGACGTTGACGGCACGCTCTTCATCATCAAGTTCGTCATTGTCGTAGGGGTACATCTTCAAGTTGTGGAAGGCAAATTCTTCCTTGATTCTCTCCTTGAATGCCTGACGCTCTTCGAGGGTAAGGGAGTCGGCCTTGGCGATGACAGGAACAACGTTGACAACGTCCGACAGCTTCTTGAGCACAACGATATCAATGGGCTTGAGACTGAATGAAAGTAGAGTCGGTTAGCCTCCCGGGAGAAATTCTCGGTGATGAATGCTCGATGAGACTTACGCATGGCCGGACGGCTGGATGAAGAACAGACAGCAGTGAATACGGGTATCCTGGATGTACCGGTCACGCTGAGCGGTAAGCTCCTTGCGGAGGTATGCGGAGTGCTGATCCTTGATGTATTTCACGATGGGATCCCAGCTAGTAGTACATTAGCTCGGTTACAGATGTTGCGGGTTAATATCTATTACCATCTGTCGTTGTTGACCTGGTCTCCGTATCCAGGAGTGTCAACGATGTTGAGACGCAGACGCACGCCGTTCTCCTCAATGACTAAGAACGAGGCGGTTAGCTCTGCCAGGAGTGAAAGGGCAATGGCGTAGGAATCATACTATGCGAAACGGTCTGGATTTCGGTGGTCGAGCGGACAGGTTCGTTGGGGGTCATGCGACCCTTGGAGTCGATAAGGTGCGAAGCAAAGATGGTGTTGATCAAAGTGGACTTGCCCAGACCCGTCTGGCCTATTTCGTCCATGTTAGCAGGGAGGGAAGGGGCTCTCTTTTCTCGGACATGGTAGGTGAAAGAGTCGACTCACCAACGCACATGACATTGAATTGGAATCCACGTTTCAACAGCTTGCGCTCGATCTGGGAGGTGATGCTGTCGAAACCGACGTGGCTGCGAGGGAAGACCGTCGCGGGATTGGTGGAAGACGAATTGGCTGCGGCTGCCATTTTGAAGAAGGACGCTTGAAGATGATAACGAGAGAGGGATTGAGAGCAAACGAAGGATGGTATATCTATCAGTCGATGGGGCGTCCCAAGGGGTGGGGAGATGGTTGGTTAGAGAGGGAAAGGTGAAAACGAAGACGAGGTAAACAAATGGGGAGATTGGAGAGGAATTGACAGCGAAAGAAGAAAAAAAAGAGGGGGGCAGCCCACCAAGTAGTAGTAAGGAAGTAGTAGATCGAGGAGAACAAGAGCAACGGCGATGCCCAAGCGTTTTCGAGCGAGGGAGGGAGTGGAAGCAGAACAACCGGGGGCCCCTTAAAGCTGCGTTGCTCTGGCCATCCAACCCAAAAGCGGTGGTTGCGACTCAGGGGGCCCGCTATTCCCCCAACGGATTAGCGTGTCTCCAGACCCCAAATCGGTGGAAAAGCTTCAGAATTATTCGATTTTATGCCGCCGCCTTGCCAGCCATTTCGCCCAATTCTCTCCTCCCTAATCTGAGCTCCAATTCCTGTCTCAGCTCTTATCGGCACCTCCCGAATTCTGGCTCTACGACTCCTTCCCTCCACCATGTCCGCCCCCATGCTCTCGCGACGCCTCCTGCTCACGGAAACCGTGTCTTCCGCCGCCGCCGTAGGACGGTGGTCTCGTTTCGCTATCAATGCCTCCGCCTGGTCTCACAACTGGCTTAAGCCCGCCGCCATTTCCTTGAGCATTCCTGGGATCATGGAGGGCCTTTGGGACTCTGTTCTCCGCGCCGTCCCCAAGAAGAAGACTTCTCACATGAAGAAGCGTCATCGACAAATGGCTGGCAAGGCTTTGAAGGACGTCAAGAGTCTCAGCACATGCTCCGGATGTGGCCAGGTGAAGCGCTCGCACGTCCTGTGCCCCCACTGCGTCGAAAGTAGGTGCAAATTCTCTGCGATCCCGCTCCCATTAAGCCATCCTCAGCGACTGATTGTGAATTGTCCTTTAGGTGTCAAGAAGCAATGGAAGCAAACTCAGACGGCTTAAAGAGCGAAAGACGGCGAGATATATGATGAAAGAAAACGGACAGATTTTTGATTTGCATTGGGGGATTGTATTTTTACCTGGTATTTTATGAAGTGTAGGATAAATGCTGCATGGCATTCGGCGTCTGGCACAGCCTGAGGGTTATCTATATTAGTGTTGGTTATTTATATATTAAATTATACTGTGGCCATTTTGTATATTTGTATATCTTGCCAGAGATCAATTAAAAAAGAATTAAGATCTTTGCATGTCATGTTTCAATTGCGTTGATTCAGTAAATTTAGTAGGGTCGGGCAGAGGATGTCAGTCTTCCATTGAAGGCCCGCTGTAGTGGTGGGTGCCATTGAAACATGATCTCATTCGGCCGCCAGCTAGTTTGTCCCGCCATGATCATCAACTCGCGTCCCAAACAACATTCGTACTCCTTTCAACAACCATACAGCGTGCTCAAATTCGCCTGGGGCCTACTCTGCCTAGGCATATAGAGCGTCTGGTCTAAGAATGGTAATGTTTTAACATGGGGAACCATAACGCTGTTGAGGTAGTTTCTAACTGGGGAAATGATTGAGTTTAGTCGAAACAATATCTCTCTTGCGGTTCTGCAGACAATGGTTTGTATATCTTGAATGACTCCCTACAAACCCTGGCATATGCTAATATCACGACCAGCCCACCCTGTTGATATCTTCGCACTGGCCGTGACTGACAAGCAGATCTTGTCGGCCTCGGGTACTTCTTCCCTCAAAGTTCACTCCACTACAGATCCCGATTTTCCGCTAGTACAGTCTATTGACGGTGCCCATAATGTCGGGTGCCATCATGTGGTTACTAACGGAAATGGTTCGAGGGCCGTCAGTATTGGCTTTGGCGGTGAGATCATGATTTGGTCTTGCCATGACGGGGTCTGGGCAAAGGATGATGGAGCGTCTGGTAGGTACCTTAGTACTCCGCTGTGTCAGTCCTGTGTCTGACCGTGACCCAGTCAACAAGGCAACACCTGCGGATGTTTGGGCCATCGCTTTGTCCGAAGATGGTCAATATCTTGCCGGTGTTACGCAGGATGGTCATATCAAGGTGTGGGATCTGGACACTAATGGGGAGGAAATCCGAGACTATGAAACCAAAGGTAGCTTCGGCACCTGCATAGATTTGGTAGGTGAAGACTCGTCCACTTCTGCCACTGTTGGTGCCTAAACTCATGAATAAACTTTTTAGTCCGCGGATGGCCGCTTCATAGCAAGCGGACACGAAAATGGTAGTGTTTACATTTTCAGTACAGAAAGCGGACGCATGCCATTCAGCCTATCAGGTGCGTACTTTGTTGTGCTAGCTAAGTACAAATGAAGCAGACAAAAGTGCCGAGTGATTGTCTAATATGTATATACAGGCTTGGTTAAACCTGTACGAGCTGTTGCATTCTCCCCTGGAGGAAAGTTTCTTGCTGCTGCTGGAGATTCCAAGGTAATTGTGCTTTATGACACGTCCTCTGGTGAACAAGTGGCGAGTCTCTCGGGGCACACCGCATGGGTCATGTCGCTGTCGTGGAGCCCCACGGGCGAGTATCTTCTCAGCGGGTAAGTTGCTATGCATTTTTTCCCCCTGAGCATGCTATCTAACGTTCAAAAGGTCGTTCGATGGAAAGGTCAAAGTTTGGTCGATAGACACAAGAGCATGTGTGGCCACCCATTCCGAAACAGACAAAGCAATCTGGAGTGTCAAGTGGCTGGCGAAGATCGGAAGATCAGTAGGATTTGCTACGGCTGGCGCAAACAGGAGCATATCATTCTACCGTGAGGCCACTGGTGGTTAGTGCATAGGCTGTGTACGAATCAACCAATGAATTTGTTGTACGAATTCCTTACCAGCGAGCTACTTGAGGCATCTTCCTCAGTATGCCGAGACGAAGGAAGCCTCTATAAGTGACCTTTTGCATTGCCTGAACGGAAACCTTATCATAGTAGGACATGATTCCAAAGTGAAGCAAACACAAGTATTAAAACATTAATCATTATTTGGTATTTCCAAAGCGGAATTAGCCTTTATATCCTCCCTATTTCATTGTATCGACGAACAGCTTCCGCATTCTTTTCAAGAACGCACCAAAGTCGCGATCCTCATTGACGATATCGAGCTCCCGCTCGAGAGCCTCCCGATCGAGTTTTGGTCGTGTATGGAATACTGCGTAATCGCGGCTCCCTGTGCCGAGTTCAAACCACGCTTCCGTTTCCCAGTCTTTTTCGAGCAGATGGGTGTACACAAACTTTAGTCTATCCTCCCGTCCGGCTCCCTCAATGCGTAAACATAGATAGTCCTGCCAAAAGTCCAACTCCGGCACGTTCAGCCGAGCTTGAGCATCCAGATACCTGGCGTGCATCTTCTGCGCCTCCAGCTTCTGGTTGATCGCCTTTTGGGTCTCGTCGATTTGTTGCTTGAGGCGGTCGCGCTTGGCGAGGCGGGAGTCACGTTCCAGGGTCACGGATGAAATGGCGGCGTGCATTTCCGCTGCTTCAGCGGCTTCCTTCTGTAGTGTTTGTTGGTGTGTTTGCGATTTGAGGTCTAGGATCTCGATATCCCTTTGCTTCATGCGTTCATCCTCTATAGGACCTGTATTAGTCCGATGCTCTAGCGCCATCTCCATAAAGCGATAGCTTACCCTGTAGCTCTGCCAATCCAATCTTGAACTGGTTCCTCTCCTCCAATACCTGCTTGCGACCTCTCTCGATGAATGCATCAAAGCGAGCAGTAAATTGTGCCATGCGATTCCGGAGATCCTCAAACCCGAAGTTGATACTGGGGAGTGAATCCGCCATGGACGGTGCATCCGCCGACGCGAGAGGCGGGCGCATGCCACTTGTCGAGAGCGACGGATCGAAAGATGAGCTCATGGTGTATCTAGCTTGACGCTTTATTGGTGCCGATGTAGTTGTAGTCTGTGAGGATTGCGATATATGCGATGCGGGGGTGATGATGGTTACTGACTTTGTTTCATGTTCTCGGGCGCGCCGCTAAAGCGCGGTGTTGCGGCGCAACCGCCGGGCTCCAGACTAACGAAAGCTTGGCATCGATCTATCACCCGTTTTTTTTCTTTTGCCTTGTCTTTCCTTCGCAAGATAATCCAATGTTTCATTTACCCTTGCGCATGCATGAATTATGATTTGACAGCTGTCAGAAGCAGTTGCATTCGAGCACACTGCCGGGAGACTCGTCTACCAGTCCGCAAGCTGTGACCAAGACGTTGTACTGTGGTTCTCGATATGCCCACGGTTAGAAGGCTAGAGTTAGCGCATATCGCCAGGAGCAGAAACAGACCTGATGGATGAACACTCTGTGGGTGCTCTGCAATATGGGCATTTGGGGAAACCAACGTACAATTCAGAAGCTCACACATGGGTCTTTTCACGAACATTAGCTCCATGTAAGTGGTTTGGAAGATCGACGCGAGCCGGTTCGAAAGACTGACATCTCCTGGAGCTTCATGTATCTCTTACTCCGGAGTGACCAAAGTTACGGTTCAATCGTCCCTCACTGCACTGCAGTCTTCCTCAACCGAGAATAAGGGCTTTTTGCCTCGCGCCTACCCCCAGCTTGCAGCTTGCTGGCCTCTAGTCGACAACGAAACCGTCTCTCATGCTATCACTGGCTGCGACATATGTGATCCTTCAATTTCGACGCTCTTTGATTTAGGATATGCGGTCGATCTCGAAAATAGCGATTCGGGAAGCCGAGTTATACCTATCGCCGTCATAGCATCCGGAGAGTGCGGCAACACTATCAGTTTTCGAAAAATTGAAGACGATGTTGTGGAACTCCGACGGAAGACGACTTCCTGGGCGCGTGTCCCTGCAATTGGACAGACGGAGTCCGTTGAATGGTCGGCGGGAGGGGCTCCTGTCCGTCAAATTTGCTTTGCGCGGACGGTTGAAGATAATGCGACGTGGATGGCAGCTCGTTTGCCCCGCTCGACTACCATCTTCCGACCACAGTATCACCGAACGCCAGTGCCTGTCATAGGATTGCATGGGAGTGACCACCAATTTCCCGACCGTTCTATCAAGTCTCGCCTGGATGCGAACCCATTGGTGGAGATACCAATCCAGCGGACCGGAGGCTTTGCGCATGCGGACGTGACTTTCAATCCCTGGTATCAGAAGCAGTTGGCTATTGTTGATGAACGAGGTCATTGGAGTGTTTGGGAACTTTCCGGCCGACACAGGCGCAACAAGGGTAATTGGACAGCTGTATCTGTCAATTCTGGCTCATTGCCGTGGCTCGATCTTGAAGACGGCCAAGACATCGACGACCACCCTCGTCATGATGGATGGGCTGCTATTGAATGGGTCGGTGATGTTAACAGCTTTGTTGTCTCTGATAGACGCTGCCCAATGCTCTATCGCATGGAAAGCGGTGAGGTTTTTCCATATACAATTGAGCTAGGCCTTAAGCGAAGATCAGAGTGGATTCTGGACATTAAGAGAAGTTCTGCCAACGTGTCGCATGTTTTCATCTTGACGACGACTCGAATATTCTGGCTGGATTTAACATCATGCCCTGAACCGAGCAGTGCAACCGACAAAGACTCACGACCGCCTCTGTTACCCCGTTTGTCCTGGCGCCATTTCCGTGATCCCGAGGACACCACATTGCGACTGACTCCTCTACTTGTGCGGGAAGGTAGCTTGATGACCGCAGATCTCTCCCTTTCATAGCACATGTACTGATACTCTCGATAGACTTTTACCTCGTTTTATACTCGCGCCTCAACAATATTGCGCTAACCTTGCAATGCCCATCTTCGTCCCTGGACCAAACGGATGTGACATCGATACCAGACCCCTATATAATGGAGATCCCATTGTCATCTCCTGACACTGAAGGCTCTCGACACTCCAACACGCAGCTGACAACACTGGTCTTCAAGGAAATCACGCATTTGCCATCGTCAGTCGGTAAACAATATCACGATCCTCATGTTAGACTCATAAAGCTTTTTGCGGTAGACTCAGGCCTTACTGTCCGCGAATCAATCTACACGGCACCCTCCCACGATGGTTCCCAGGATGATGAACCAGCCGCAAGAGATGTCTTACGAGTGAAGAAAAGGCATCAAGGAGTGCAAAGGTCGCAGTCGACTTACTTCGAAGATCGATTTGTAGTAGAGGACTGCGAGGAATCCATGTTGGGAAGCGGTATGCTCACAACCGCAGACACTGGGATGTCTAGCATAACGCCACTTGCAATCCCTGAATGGTCTCTCGACTACACCCAAGTCTACGCTGCTGCTACTGGAAGGTTAACGCTGTCATCGCGAGAAGACGACCTAGGTAATCAAATCTTCGAAAGGAGTTTTGAGGAGGCTATGCAAGTGCTAAGCGAAATGACGACTGGTGCTGGGGTGAGCAACGACCAGACATGTCGCACAGGGTAAGTAAATCTACTGCTATATACCGACTATCTTTTACTGATGTTCCTAGTCTCGAGGCCCTTGGTAGTAGTCCAATGCTTGACAGTGTCGAACAGAACTCGCGGAGGCTCCAGGAATTTCTCTCCAGCAACCATCTAGCTCTCTTAGATTGGAAAGCTGACCGCCAACCGTCTGGCCATTCTAGTCCACTTCTCGTTCGATCGGCGGATTTCATATACGAGGTTTCGGGGTTGGACCTTCCTGCAATCTATGATCTGCTTACCAATGACTGGCTGGCTGGCCTGCCTCACGATCTTCCTGGGCGCACAAGATTCACGAAAGAGAAGACCATCCGTGGAGTTGTCGCTGATCTGATTTTGGCTCAGATACGCATTGGAGTTCGGACGCTCTCCGGGATTGATGAATCTGATGACAGCAGGCGGATAAACTCAGGGAATATTCCATCATCATCATCATCATCATCATCAATGATTTCGATGGATGACCCCTTCGATGCATCGAGCTCTAGAAGTGCGAGGCGGGTGTCTCAGCGACCGGCCTGGACAGGAAACGGTAGCTTGGATGATCCAGGCAGCGGCACGACGCCTGGAAGCACTCTTGGACGCGGGGAACTTGAGACTGAAAGCCTGCGGGACATGGAACCTACTTATACCAGCCTCTCAGCATATACTACCTTTAGTCGCGAGCGGAATATGCCTCGAAAAGTGGCGAGCATGTTGGGCCATTGGCAACCAGGTGCCGACCCGGCTGGGTACAACTGGCAGAGGGCAATGCAGCTTCAGGGAACCGAGGAGTCGCAATCAGCATCTAAGGCAGCGACACCGAAACGTCGTCAACGCAAGAAGACTCCATCAACCCAAGGAACCACCACTGTGAATAGTGGGAATGTATCCGCACCCGCACCAGCCCTAGCCCCAATGACTTCTGTTACTCCTGATGTGCGGGGGTGGGGAAGCCAACCAGAGCACAATGAGGCGCCTGTTCTCAGACTGCAAAGCAGTCAGGTTATCGAGGACGATGTTCCGATGACACAGATCGAGCGGGGCGCATTTGGTGGCCGAGAAGCTGGGCGAAAGAATGTAATGAAGGCACGCAAAAAGAAGCGCGCGGCCGGTTTCTAAAGCAGCCCAGATAGGTTATTTATTCATCCAAATGGAATTTCAGCATTCAAACAACCCCGAATAGAATAGTAGATGTACAGTTGTAGCGGCTTGATTGGTAAGACAATGAGCGATTTCTGCGCATTCTTTGCCCCGCCTCGGGATTGCGATATCCAACCCTGGGAAGTATAAGAAGAACGCGACGAGGTTCATTTTTATTCCTCAAAGCACTCTTTCCCATTCTCTTTCCATCTCGTCGTCTATAGACCTAGTGCTCCCAGGAACTCCTAAATAATCATCGCTGTTCGCTGTGGCAGTTTACACGCCAGCATATTTTGTTGCCTCAACTCGAAACGCCCATCGATCGACGTTCCCCCGTCTGTCTCCACCCCTCCTCTCCTTGCTTTAGCCCCGCCATCGTCATCTCTATCTTCTCTATTTACTTATTTGTTCATCCACACACCACACTCCACTTATCTGCTTCCTCTCTCTCTCTCTCATATACACACGCCGCCCCCCAACACCATGTCCGACCACCAATACAAGTTCAACGTCAGCATGAGCTGCGGCGGTTGCTCCGGTGCCGTGGAACGAGTCCTGAAGAAGCTCGAGGGTATGTTTTTCTTCCCTACCCCCCCTTCTTTTCAGAATATCGTCAAACAGAATAACAAGCAAGTGCACTGAACCGCTTCGCTGACTTTCTCTCCTCCTCCGCAGGTGTCAAGTCCTTCGATGTCAACCTGGAATCCCAGACCGCAAACGTTGTCACCGAACCTTCTGTGCCCTACGATACCGTGCTGGCTACGATCAAGAAGACTGGAAAGACGGTCAACAGTGGAGAGGCTGATGGCCAGACTATGAGTGTCTAAAGAAAGAAAAGAAAAGGGAAAACGAAAAAAGAAATAGCACAATCAGAAGAATCATATGGATCCCGGGGTTGGCCTTGGGGAGGTGACGAAGCTTTCGTCCGAAGGGGGTCAGTGTTATGCATGCATATATTGAAATAATAGGAAGAGGGGCTACTGCTTTGGGTAGTGTTGCGAGATACCCTGATACCCCTGACCTACTGCTGCTGTCTGCATGGTTGTATATAGCGCAATTATTTGACTACGTTCGTATCGTTTTGTGATTGACCTTCATGGGTGATTTGTTTGTCTGTCCGCTGCCTGCGCAATGTGTCTGCTAACGTTGTGGCTGGTGATGACGACGACTTCTGCGGGTATACGCGTAAGAGACACGAGTGCATGTAGTAGTGCTCTAAACCCAGAGTAGCTGCGTGATAAAGCGAGGTAAGCACATCGCTTGTCAGATTTGTTGTTGTTGACACGTGGTCGGGTATCATATCCGCTTGACGCTCAAGCTCAAGATTTATGTACAGCAACGCATATGCGGACATCTACATAGAACACCATCGACAAACACAACCCGAAGCCTTCTAATCCACAATGACAACAGTTCGACCCTCAGGAACCGTATAGGGAACCCGCTCAACGCGTCTTACATAGGTAGGATAACGTTGTTCTTCCATGCGCGAGCCATCGTGTGGAAGGTCATAGGCTTGCCTGTTCGTTTCGCGTCCGTTAGTAACAAGTTCAAAAACTAAGAAGGGGACAGTACGCGCAGCCCCAGCTGCAAGGTCCATACCGTGAAGTGTCCACAGCATCTTCATACCCTCTGACGTAGTGGCGGGCTGTAAAAGGCGGATTAGGTACCCTGTCAGCATAATTGCTTGGACCATGATGATCGGCCACAACATAATCCTGGATAGCGGGTCCTGCCCGGGAATCCAGACAAACACGGCCAACGGGCCTGCTCCATTCTGTGCTACCGGGCGAACTACGCATGTATTGTTCGGTCTGCACCGGAATTCCAGCCGAGAGAGGATGGGGGTGGACTGGGTAAGTTGCAGGTTGAAGACGACGCTGCACTGGATACTTTGTTGGAACAGGATCCCGTACGTCAACGGCACGAACGAAGTCCTCCGCATAGTGTCTTCCTTGAGACGCTTCCTGTGAAACCAAAGGGGGGTCATATTCTCTGCCGCGACGAGCAGGATCCTCCAGCTGAGCCACGTCAAGCGGTCTTAAACTGCCAGAGTTATATCTAGGAACCTCATGATAGACACGTCGCTCTCTCAACTTATTGGGCCGCACAGGAACAAGCCTATCAGTAGCATTATCCTCAGGAATAGCATATCTTGTACTTGGCACAACTTGAGATTGCCCTGGAGACCTGTACTGGATGGGCAGCCCGGAAGGCACAAAATGAGATGCATGGCCATGTACGTCTTCCGATGGCCTCTGATGCACGGCAGTCACGGTCCTGGGGCCAGGTGCGGTAGTATAAGTGGAGTATTGCGTTCTTTCCGGGTGACCCTCCGCAACAGGATGTGATCCAACGGGGGCGGCATATCTCCTACGGAAATGAATATCGTCCTGGATTGAAGAGGGTTTCAGGTGAGTATGTCCAGGGGTGTCCTGATACCTGCCGCTTGTGTAAGGGAACGCTGCACCAGTGGTGACAACCCTGGCTTGAGTATGACAGAGCCGTTCACGCTCGTAGTGGCCCATACGTCTCCGTTTAGAAGCTTGATCTCGATCAGAAATTTCTGAATCGTGGTGTATCATCTCCTGGCGAGCGGGACGGTGAGGGGTTATTGAGCGAATCGAGAAATCTCCGGAAATCCTTTTGGCAAGGTAATCCAGCTGGCCACTATTGGGGCGTCGGATTTCCATGGGTGTGGCAGTCTCAATAGAAGGCAATGCATGATCCTGTGGCTGTACATTGGTCCTGTGTTGGGACGAGGCCAGAGGTCTTGGGAGGACGGCTGGGTCCCCGGTCATCTCATGAATCTCTCTCGGGCCACTCACAAATACAGGCGCATTTGGCGAGTCTTCTCGCTGATATGAACGCTTCTGCTGTTGAATAACTGGCACTCGCTCCAAAGAAACCGCACTTGATACAGGTGCAATCTCCTTTCTCTGAGCAGGCAGTTCAGGCATACGGTGCAGTTCATACTGCTCGTTCAAAGTTAGCTCGAAGCAGTTCTCTCAGTGTAGATCATAGAGCACGGTTATGATAAACACAAATCTAGACCTTGGGTGGCTTACCCGTTCCATTACAGAGTCCGCGACCGTCCTACCTATGTTGGTACTGATGGGCCTTGCACTAGATGTAGCAACGGGTGCCATCGAAACATGAGGCCTATGAGCAGACTCTGATTCAAGCCCAACAGGTCCTGGCAATGGCTGTCGAGTGACGACCGGGCCCCGAGATTCGGAGGCATCATGCAGTCTGTGCTGGTTAGTTTCGTTTGCTATGTTTCTATATCGGTTGAGAGCGCGGTCCCAAGCCTGATATCTGCTGAAGCCTCGACGATCAATCTTATGTCTTCTGGGGGGCTCTGGAATGTAGCGGAAGCCTGGTGGTGCTTCTTCATCCGACGGATCTAACTGGGTATCACGAAGGGCAGGGTTTGCATAATTTAGCGTCCTTGTTTGAAGCTCGTCAGCCTGGGGATTACTGGAAACCACCATCACGCTGTTATCGCGATTATTAGGTGAGAACGGCTCTCCCTCGACATCACTGTCCTCATCATCCGATATGACAATGACCTCTCGGAAGACGTCCTCCAGGACTGTCTTCCCATTCTCATCGTCTCCTCTCCACTCCACTAATTTTGCAAGGGTGGGCTCTTCGACCACGGTCCGAGCTTCATGAAAGGATGTCGCCTTCAGGAGACGATCGTAGTCAGTGTAAATGTGTCGGATATGTGCCACAACCGCTAACTGAGCCCGACGAGCCAGTGGTAGCTCAACTGCCGTTCCTACTTTTCGCTGGCCCTTAAATCGGTCTCAGCATCTGTCACGCATTCGTATATCATGGTTCCCTCCCATCTATTTTTCTCCTTGGGCTCGTCACGTACCTTTTGAAAAGCGGTCTTGATGATTTGATTGAGATCATTATCGGGAATGTTGGGGAACAGGTCTCTCAAGACATCTCTCGCTTCTGTATTTATAGTTGTCTGGGAGACTTCTGAATTAGCTCTTTTGCGGTCGTTCTCACCGCCAACCGTGCGAAAGGGCACCGCTTTCCCAGCGGCCGTGAGATAGAGACCCAGATCCATGCACACTGCTGCGACCGCGGCGCTTGGAAAGTGATAACCTATTCGATGTACATGCTGGGAGAGATTGTGGGTGTGCATATGCGGCGTTGTCTAACCATAGCTATTAGATAAACGAGAACCAAGGACCGAATATGGATACAGCTGTCGGCATACCGTGACAGCGAATACCTTCAGACCATCCTTCCGACATAATTCCTTACATGCCGTTGTAAGCTGAGGGTTGCCTGCAGGTATGAAGGTATAACCAGGAGGGGCCTTTGCTTCAAAAGATATCTGTTTTCTTGGTCAAGAGTGCCCGTGAGAAACTGATAACACAACAACATACGACACTTCGAAGTTTTTTCTTCTCCTGAGTAACAGATTCCAGAATCACTCTATGTTTTCGAGCATTTCTCTTGACGATCCTGCTCGGGGCTCGCCTGGCAAGGACCGAGGGAGGTCTCCGAGATACTCGGGCCATGCTGACAATGTAGAACCTTCCCAAGTAGCTACAGAAGACAAGCCTTCATTTTACCGGTATCGGTTCAGATACACACACTGCATGGAATGAAGCCGTGGGGGCCAGGATCATTCATCGAGAGCGAATGGTTAGACAGACGCGTCGATAGACAGCTAGTAGTCACACGGGTGTTTTCAAGTTAGTAAGCCATATTCTACACAATGAAAAAGATCCTATGCATGAACCGCAGTCCCAGAAAGTCAAGAATATGGACTAAACTGGAACAAGCCGATAGCTGTTCAAGTCGGTCTAGCCACCGTTTTGGCCAACAAGATGATGCACTAGCCCTGATACCGCGAAATAAAGGGGGTGTGCTTGATGAGACCGAAAAGGTAGTTAGCCGGTTCAACGCTGACCTCCCAACTATAGGAGCATATAGCGAGGCAGAGCAGCAAAGATAGCGGCAGCCGGGGGTAGTATACAAAAGAACCTCCAACAGGCTGGGTTGGGCTGGTGGATGAGGTTTAAAGGGAAAGGTGGGAGAGGGAACGAGAGCGCCGGAGGGCAACCAAACTTAAACCATTTGCGGCCTAACGCGCGGGCGCCGCTGGTGCCTGCCTGATCGGGGCTAGCGTGACCTACCTCATTCACTCCAATTTGCGACCACCAAGCTACATATTCAATCTTCCTGTCATTATATCCATCACCTTCCACTCTGATTGCCACTAACTGGATCAGAGAAGCAGTTGAGGGATTCACAGTAATGTTGGCGCATTCTGACATCTTGCTGAGTGGTGAATCAAAAGAATAAGGGTGGTGGTGACGAGGGGAAATTCTAGTATCAGTTGCCTGTGACCCAGAGGTCTCCTTCTCCCTTTCGCGGCAGGATGATTACACCTACCCAGACTCTAAAGTCTGTTGTGGATCAGAAAGCTGTTGTCCATGCCTATCGCCACTTGTATCGCCAGGGCTTGAAGGCCATCAATTATTCTACCCCAGCACGGCATGTTCTTCGGCATAGTCTGCGATCCGCCTTTCGTTCATCTTCACCGGAAGAGCTGAACCCGCGGCGCATAGCCAATACTTTACAGTTTCTCCAACGAGCTGCCGACGTTGCAGGCCTTGAACATAAGATTGTGAAAAACCTGATGATGATGAAGTACTGGGAGCAGCCCCAAGTGAGAAAAGACCACCGCACGTAGGTTATCATTAAACCCCCCCTGAAGAAGAATTTAGGCCGTGCGGGACTAATTTCAACCTAAGCTTGAGAGGGCTAGGGGTCGATCAAAGGGATCCTATATTGATGCAGGATACAATGCGGCAATTTAACCTAACTTTGTCACTCCTCAATGACAGCCTAGATATTTGCTTGAGGTAATCCATAGAGATCGTTGATTCCCTATCGTCTATATCGAGTGTATGGGGTCACTGCTTTCGTCGGATATTGAATAATTACAGTCCCCCCAAAGTAGTAGGACAACGCAATATATTCCACTTCAACTCTCACGAGGCAGGACATGACGCTATCTGAGTGTCGACTAAGGTCTACATTTATTTTCCTGGAGTTTTTTACATCTTGAAGCTCCGACAACCTTTTCAAAACCGGACTTATTTCCCAGGTGAAGCTGCAGCTAGAGCTGGGTTGGATGAGAGACGAGGGGATTGTTTCGGCCGGCATGGTCGCCACTGGCGTGTGATCGGGATATACGGGAGCGTTGAAGGTGGAAGTAGATCTAGGCCGCGGCTAGCGAATCAGCATCCGCGCCGGCCCAGTGTCACATGTTCGAAGTGCCTGTTCCGGAGCCCTCGTCTGACCCTCAGGCTCGTTCCAGCGAACTCCTAGTCTTGTAATCCTGCGTACTTGGAAAATAAAAAGGCTATTCTCAATCTATCTTCTCTCCTTTGACTTTCAGCTACGTTAACACCTCATTATCAATGCTGCCATAGGCCCTTCATGAGTGGGCTTATTACTTCCCTCTTCATTGAACCCGTCGTTCGGCAAGCCCGCCGCCTCTCCCAGCAGGCCAATGCCCAGCCATCCCCCGACAACCGACCTGAATCTCCCGCAAGCACACGAGACTATGTTCCCCTGGTCAATGGCAATTACAAGGCCGCCGACCCTACTAAGATCATAATGCCGGACTCTGGACAAGAAAAACATGCTGATCCCCCATCGAACGGCGGATATGCGGGGTCCGACCATGGTCGTGCGATCTCGCCGACGTCGCCGCCGATCGACCCGACTAACCAACATCATGGAACAGAACATAGCACTGTCCTGGACTCGTCCAGAAGTTCAGTAGGGGACTCATTGCCGTGTTTGCCAGGTTCTCCTGGTATGCATAGAAGACCCTCGACGCCGTCGGTACGGTTTGCCCCTGTCGCTTTTCCCGCGCATGAAGCCCCTCAGAGCACGAGACAAGACTCCCAAAGCCCACGACAACACTCGAACGACCAACTATCAGGCGAAGACGGCGGGACATCTTATACCTTACCAGAGGACGATGGAATGGGTGCCTTGAGAAAGAGAATCCACGCTATCAGGGACCTGGGATCTAGCAATGCAGACCAGGCACGCATGATCCACGCCTTAATGACGGAGAACTACCACGCTTCCCAGAAGAGTCTTGATGATCAGCCTGCTCCAAGGAGTCTATCGCCTTTTAGCCCTCGCAGCCTCCCACGGGCGGATAGTCCCGGTAGCTGGTCCGACCGATCTTCCAGTCAAACATCGCAGTCTCCAGTCTCGACAGCTCCCGATACTCCTTCGTACAATTTGACGGCTGAGGATTTAATACCAACGTATGCGCCCCGGATGGAGCCCGAGTCGCCTCTCGGTGAAGTGGAAGATATAGATGCAGAAGAATGTGAGGAAGTTTTTCTGGGCTGTGAACACTATAAGAGAAACGTCAAGTTGCAGTGCCATGCGTGTAAGAAATGGTACACCTGTCGCTTCTGCCACGACGCAGTCGAGGATCACCATCTTGACCGGCCAAGAACAGAGCATATGCTGTGCATGTTGTGTGGGCACGCTCAACCTGCGGCACATTCATGCGGACATTGTGGTGAACCGGCGGCGCAGTACTATTGCCACGTCTGTAAACTCTGGGACAATGACGCAGACAAGAGCATATATCATTGCAATGACTGTGGCATATGCCGTATTGGGCAGGGCCTGGGGAAGGATTTCTTCCACTGCAAGGTAAGGGACCAATCCACCTGAGTTGACCGGCGTGGGATGCTGATGTGAGGTCTAGACGTGCAGTGTCTGTCTTCCGATCTCTATCGAAAACACGCATCGATGCATAGAGCGCTCTACGCAATGTGACTGTCCTATTTGCGGTGACTATATGTTCACTTCGCCAGAAACTGTGGTTTTCATGCGGTGTGGGCATAGCATCCACCAGCGATGTCTATCTGAATATGCGAAAACTTCGTACCGCTGTCCGATATGCAGCAAAACCATAACAAATATGGAATCCACGTTTCGGAACCTGGATCGAACCATCCAAAGCCAGCCTATGCCAGCCGAGTTTAGAGACACAAGAGCTCTTATCTATTGCAATGATTGTGGTGCCAAGTCTATTGTCAAGTATCACTGGCTGGGTCTTCGATGTGATATGTGGGTTCTTTAATGATCTCCCTTCCACACGGTATGCTAACCAGGGGCTTAGGTGTGAATCATATAATACTGCTCAGAAGCAGCTTCTCCACCGCGATGCTCAGGATCCCGCAGAAATTGATGGCGAGGACACGGACATGGCAACCTCACGAATTAGATCTTCCTCCTATGGCGCGGATGAGACCGTATTATCAACGCTAGCCTCGTTGCGAATTGACACGAGCAGTGTTCCGAGGCCGGATTCAGCAACCCCTCGGACCAACGCACCTTTGTCCGCCGAAGCAGCTGGCCAGTTCTCGTCCTATAGTCTGGCTCGTGGTCGTGCAGTCTCCCCGGTGATCAGTAATTATTTTGGTATCCCGCCAGATCGTGAATCGGAGAGGTCGCGATCCACATCTTTCTTTAGCGGCTTAACTTTCCGGAACAGTGCGGACGATGACGGTGGCGAGCTTCGCTTATGGGGTACCAAAATCAAGTACAGCTATGGTTTTCTCGGACAAGAAACCGAATCTGTTGATGGGGCCTCTGATGCGGAAATTGGAGAGTTGGACGAGGATGACGATAGTGGATCCGAAGAAGCAGAGAATACTCGTGAAGAAAATGAAGAAGACGAAGAAGACGATCAGGAGAGCATCGACATATTTGGACATCGATGAAGTCACCTTATTATATACTATAAACATACACACGGCTGTTCATCGAAAGGCTACTGGGGAAGCGGATAACGACCACCATAATGGAGCTGTCATGGCAGAAGTTGGCCGGTCCAACTGAAAGCTGCCTTCTACGATACATTGATATTTTTTTTTTTTCTCTTTGGCTTGAGTTATGGTGGTATGGGCGTTTGGTGTTGAACTTGTGAGATCAACGAGTCTATTGGTACTATCAGTCATTGTTGCACCCGCACGCTTGTCACACGGCGCATCGGATGGAGGTAGCAGGGGGGTTAAGGGAGACTGGGGAGGTTAGAGGGTGTTTTTGCTTTGTGTAATATTAGACCCGAAAGGTTAATGGGTAGACAGAGGGGGGAATAGCATGGCCTTCTCCCTCGTCTCTTTCTTTCTTTCTTTCTTTCTTATTACTTCATCTACTATACTACAAAGGTCTCTATTGAGTGGTGATGTACTCGTGATGTATGCCCCAGGCGAGCAAGGGATGCTTAAGTAAGCGAGAAATGGGGGGGAAGAGTTGACTGAATCGGGCGAAGATGACGATGACGACAAAAGTAAAGATGGGATGCAGATGCAGAATGATTGAATGAATGCAGGATCCCAACCATGGTTGGCCACTCTGAAACGCCCTCCTTCTGAAGATCGATCTACCTACTTCTAGGCAGCTCTGCTTCTTCTTCCTCTCGTTAGAAATCTTCTTCTGCTGTTCCCTCTACCGCTCCACACATTTCCATTCCGTCCTTTCTTTGTCCTTCCTTCTGACTCTCTGCCCGCTGCTGCTCACTAATCTTAATCGCTCCTCTGAAACGAAAGCACGGATCTCTCCGGGGCATGTTCCAACCCTCAGCTTGATTACGAACGCTTCCCCGACTCTTCGGTGCTGCTGCGCACCCGTCCCGGCGACACTCTTCTTGTCCTGCCCAACACTTATCCAGACTCTCCTTTTCCGTCTGTCTGTTACGGATTCAACCCGCCCTTGACCGTCGCACTATATAATCCAGTCGCTATACAGTACACCCATCCGATACCCTCCCCCCCCAACCCCTCCGATAAGGCCCCTCCCTATCGGTCACTCTGGCGCGGATGCAGCAGCAGTACAACTACAAACCCTCGTCCTAATAGAACATGATCCGTCGCAATTCAGACATTGAGGTCCAGCTCCCCGATGCCGGTACTCCCGTCGTCTCCGAACCTTCAAACAACCCGGATGTAGAGATGTCATCGGATGAACCTACTCTTCCTCTGAGCCTCCCTGCCCACCTCGCCGCTCGCTTTGCCCGGAAACCCAGTGTGATCCGTCGCTCATCAGCAGCCTCATCCCGCCGAAGCTCGATATCGTCCCTTCATTCGCAACACTCGCATGCGTCGGCTCATGGCGCATCTTCTACCGATCACGCAGCGCAGCATCTCCGGCGGACCTCTATCCTCGAAAGCCGCAAGGCACGGCTTGCCGACCGCGCGTTACACGCAGAAAAGGTGAGGCTACGTGCTGCCCTTGCGAAAGCTGCTACACGCAACTTGCAAAGAGAGGAACGGGCTTTAGCTGCCCAGCAAGCTCGGGAACGGCTTTTGGCTGAAATCACTGCCAAGTGCGAGGAGGAAGTCCGCCGGGCGAAAAAGAAAGCTGAAGACAACCGGGAAAGGAAGGCTGCTGAGCACGCTCGCCTTCGTTTGGAGATCGCCGAGAAATTCGCAGAGGTAGAGAAAAGGCGAATGCTATATCAACAGAGCCAACGGCGCCACCGCACCAGTAGCCTGCATTCCACGGACGAGAAGAAGATGTCAAAGCTTTCAGCGGGTCTCATCACGCGGGACGCAGCCGCAAGAACAATTCAACGCGCATGGAGGACATACCATTCCAAACTGATCATGCGAGAGTTTCTTGACCTAGGCCTGACCACCGGTCGCATCCGTGACATGACCTTTGAGGATGTGGGTGCCCTGCTATCGGCGGATCCAGTCCTGACCACTACGGCCCGCGTCCTTCGACTCTGCGGGCTGCAGGACATGGAAAGCGGCACCATGGGCGGCCGGGGTGCTGTACGCACGTTTTTGAGCAGCTACTTGATTGTCACTCATCCTACAGAGGTTCTGAGCAGCAACGGAGAACAGGAACAGGACCTGATTGCCAAAGCACGTGAGCTCCTCGGGGCATTCGAGCAAGTTACTCCGTTGCTCTCCTCCGGCTGCTGCTCGCCTCTGTCCATATCCACTGAGCTCCAGGTGCTGTGTGAGGCATACAGTGTCTTTTTCTCTGCGTTCCATGCGTGGAAGACACATGATTCCAGCGTTTTGATTGAGATTATGCTAGCTCAATTTATCGAGCTGGAGCTGATCTGGCAGACGGTCAAGGATGATCGTGCCGGTGGTGTGGCCGACGATTATCGGCAGGGGATCAGACAGAACCAGATATTGCTCCTTGCCAGGCTGAAGCGTCTGGCGGGGTCTGATCGGGCCATGCAGATGGTGCGCGATGCTTTGAAGAAGGCCAAGCGTGAGAAGAAACGTACTGCCGCTAAGAAGCAAGCTATCCCACGGTCAGCGGAAGTTGCGCCCTCCACCGAAGCTCTCACCGAGAGTGTTGCCTCTCCTATCAGTGAGACATTCAATAACGTGGATAGTGCAGTCTTGAAAGAATTAGACAAGCAGCGGATTTCACCTCATGAACGGTTCACCCGCATCCTTACTGCCCTTCCGGAGAACCGGGCGTTGGTCCATGAGCTCCTCATCAACAAGGCGTTCAAGATTGATGAGGAACAATATACGGAACCGCGCAGGCGGATAATGGAGCATATGTGCGAAATGATGCGCAGGGATGTTGATGACGGTCTGGGCACGAACTGGACGGTGGCTATGGCTACTGTGATTCAGGATCGATTGCTGCGCTCTCTTCGGCCTGGCAATTCGCTCCACGTATTGATCAGCGAAGTGCTTGATCCTAAACTAATCGAGAACCAGTGCAAGGCTGGTGCTTTTTCCTACGATAAATTTTTCGAGTTCATGAATACCATCCTTCCGAAGCTCTGCGCACCGTATCGCGACCCTGTGGTCAAGGCCTTTGTCGAGGATACGTCCGGGGATGCGATCGATCGCCTAGCAAGACTTATGGGAATCATCGATCTCCTGTCTCTCGATCACACCAATTTCATGATCCAGATGGCGGCGCCGCAGCTCATTCAGGAGGCGCCTGGCTACGAACAGAGAACGTTCGAGAAAGGTCTCCAAGATGGCTCGTTGAGTCTCGGGAAGACCCGCCGTTTCTGGCGGACGTACCGAAAGGTTCTCGCAGATGAGATGCGGAAGCGTGATCCGGAGAACGTAAATGGCGAGCCACAACCCCCTATGGCAAAGATCTACGCGCAAGGATTGGTGGATCTGGTGCTGAGCAACGCCCCCGTGTCCGACGAGCTGATTCCTGAGACACTGGAGTTGGATCGCCAGCGGCTTGGGCGGCTACATGCCCAAGCATTTCGGATTGTTGCCACGGCGTCCATACTCTTAACGGCAAAGAACCTGCTCAAACGTGATGTGCGGTCTCAATGGAAGGCCGAGGCTGACCGAATCCTGTCCCTCGACTTCAATGAGATCCAACCTGATCGGGTCCAGTCGATCTTAGAGTCCACTCACCCAATGCCTCCTAGTGCGAGCGCCCAATTGGCAGCCACCATTCGACGAGTGCTGGCGCCAGTAGGTGCCGCTTGCGCCGCTGCCGCACCGGCGGGAGCGACGCAGACGACAGTCGAGATCCAAACGGACCCAGACCCGTCAGTCCCGTCTGCTGCCTCCTCGTCTACCGTGTCCGAAGCTGCAGGATCCATTGGCTCTGCAGGATCGTGCGGGAGCGCGACCAACGCTGCCAGCTTTACGGACCCTGTGGCACGGTTGATCTTGTCGCGTCTACGAGCTCACATCCTCTCTCGTATGAGCGCGTCTAGCGCCAGCGAGAGGGTGCGCGCCACTACTACGGCTAGCCAGAGCCTAGCAGGAGCCGGTATGCCTGAGTTTGTGACAGAGGTCGGGCAATTGACCGAGGAGTTGGAGAAGATGCGTGAAGTGGACTGGTTATGTCATGGCATGATCTACGATCGCATCTTGGCCTAGGGTGTTTGGGCTTCAGACGGGAGCGTGATCCCAATTGTATATTTCGGGCTGACAGGGGCCTTTCTCTCTCTCCCTCTCTCTCTTTCATCCGTTACTTTATGGTCTCTTATTTTTACATGGGCTTCTTTGGAGGGATATCTGTCTATAACAGGAGGGTAGACTAGGATGTGAAGGCGTAGTGTTGATATTTCTGTACCTAATGTGAACGCGAATCTATACAGTCGCAGTTTGTATGTTCGGGGCTCTTTATGGATGAAAGCACTAACCTATAAAATGAAGCCATTCTTTTATATTCAAACCCTTTTACAACCGCCAACTGGTGAGCTCAGGGCGCTGTGACGTGACTAATCGCCGATCCACGGCAACGACGACATTATCAGTCAGTATTCGCTCCCCGCCAAATCCCACGTTATTTCCATCCTCTTCCATTGGACCATCTACCGACTTCCTAAGAGCCCGAGTAGACATCTGCAGCAGGAAAGCAAGGAGGCGCTCTAATTATAGACCGGAATACCCTCAATCATCACCATGGCCGCCGTCGACCACCCCGCCTCCTCGCTCCCCCACCTCCAGCTGCTGTCGGATTTGACCCCGCCTTCGCTCGAACGCACCTGGTTAACAGCACCGCACCCCCGACTCCCCATCGTCGCCACCTGCAGCTCCGACAAGACCGTGCGCGTCTACTCCCTGACCAACTTCCGGCTCCTCTCCACCATCTCCGGCGGACACAAGCGCAGCGTCCGCACAGCAGCATGGAAGCCACATGTCCAGGGCGAAAGCGTGCTCGCAACGGGTAGTTTCGACGCCACTGCGGGGATATGGCGTCGGTGGGACAGTTATGGACAGACGACTGGTGATGAAGGATGGGGATTGGGTCAAGAAATCACCACCAAGAGCGAGTCACAACAAGAGCAAGCGCAAGAGACCGACATTCTCCGTCAACAGCAAGCCACAGACAACGACAGCGACGGCGGTGCAGATGATGAAGACGAAGAATGGCGTTTCGCCGTTCTCCTCGACGGACACGACAGCGAAGTCAAATCCGTCTCGTGGTCCCCCTCGGGAATGCTCCTTGCGACATGTTCGCGGGACAAATCAATCTGGATCTGGGAGGATCTGGATGACGGGGACAATAACTTCGAGACGGTGGCAGTGATGCAAGAGCACGAGGGAGATGTCAAGTGTGTGGCGTGGCATCCGGTGGAGGAGTGTTTGGCTAGTGCGAGCTACGATGATACAATTCGTATTTGGCGTGAGGATCTGGATGATTGGGGACAGGTTGCTTGTTTGCGGGGTCATGAGGGGACCGTGTGGTTTGTGGATTGGGAGAGTGTGGAGAATGCGCCGGTTTGTTCGGAGGAGACGCTGTTGGCGCAGTGGAAAGAGGATGTCAGGAAGGAGTTGTCGGGTCCGCGTATTGTCTCGTGCTCGGATGATCGCACTGTCCGGGTCTGGAGGAGACAGCCTAAGGAGCAGGTTGCTGCTGGGGGTACAGGCATGCCGAGTATTTTGCGTCCGACGGGCCTGGATGAGACTTGGGAGGAGGAGACGGTCTTGCCCAAGGTGCATGATCTGGCTGTTTATGCGGTCGCTTGGAGCAAGCGGACGGGATTGCTGGCGTCTGTGGGCGCGGATGGTCGCATTGTGATCTATGAGGAGCGCTTGGTGGTGGTGGATGATGCTTCCGCGGGTGAGTCGCAGCCTATGGATACGGATCCGCCTGCGGCTGCGGCAAAGGGTGCTGTGCGGCCGGAGTGGGCGGTTCTGGCGATGTTGCCGGGGGCGCATGGCATCTATGAGATTAACCATGTGGCCTGGGCCAAGCGTGCGGATCGTGGTCGTGACGTGAGCAGGGAGGAAGAGGTCTTGGTCACTACCGCTGATGATGGCAGTGTCAAGGTATGGACGGTGAAGCGGTAATTACTTGGGAGGGGGGAGTTGCAATTGGATATCGACTATATTGCGGTTTATACGGTATTTACCGGTAGATGAGATTTCGTGGCTTATAGACGGGGAGGGCATTGTGTCTGGGCTATATATCAGGAAGCGGTCATAAACTTTGTTCATGTCTAGATGTTAAATGATGCCAGGTAGCAACCTAGATAAGATGATAAATGCACATAAGGAGCACGTCCTTTCGTGGCCAAGAAAACAAAAACAAAAGGCCAAAACCCGAAGCAAGCCATACACCTACACCATCACAAGTTTACCCAACAAAAGATGAACTAGGATAGATTATGATTGCCCCCAGCTCGGGAGGCCTGTCGAGAATGCTGTCGCGAGATATCATCCTCGTCGCTGTCCTCGCCCACAGCGTAGTGTTCTCTTTCGAGATCCGGAGAATGAAGGTCATCGAGTTCGGCCTCGTCGAAATCCCCAGCTTCGACGTCTGCGCCTCCTGTGCGCTTGTTGTGGAACCGCTCGAGAACAGAGCTTCCGCTCATGTCCTTATGCCAGACGCCCCGGTATCCCTGGTGACGCCGGCGGCTGCGCCAGATGAAGAAGCCCCAAACTAATACTCCGATAATGACAACGACAAGAACGGCTTCGCCTGACTTGGCGTAGGCTTTCCATTCCGTCTCCTTGATCCTCTCCTTCTCCTGCTCCTCCGCCGCGGTGCTGTTGGGATGGCCGCCCACCGACGTCTGGGGCAGCTTCTCGCCGTCAATGCGCGAGTCGGCGGGGCTGCCTCCGATGCTAGCGATATCGACATTCATGAAGCGATCTAGCATGTCCCGGCTCTGACGGGGAAGGTCGTAGGGAACCATGTGACTTGCGTTGTAGATGAGCACATAAGTCAAGTTTCTGGCATATTGATAGATACCAGCCGGCTCGCCTTCGAAACTCCAGTCGTGTCGAGGAGCCCAGACGCCGGGTGAGGTCTCGAAACCGGTGCCCCCGTTCCACTTCATGTTGTTGATGAGCTGTTCTGTTCCGACATGGTTGCAAATTAGGTCCTTGTCTCCGCTGAAAAGAAGGATTTGAAGGCCCGATTCCAGCAAGCCAGGAAGTAGTTGAACCGAGGGTGGGGACTTTTGCGGATTGAAGGCGCTGCTCACTGCTCCTGAGCACTCCACCCAGCCAGACTTCTTCTCCGGATTGATGTTAAGCGCTTTAACCACATCTTCTCGCTGCAGGTAAGGCTTCACGTCCTCCAGGTCGGTCGGCCAGTTCATACCGCATGCGTCGGTGGTGTCACGAAGGCGGATGTCATACATATTGAGACATTGGTTGTCTTCGACCGTCTTATCCAACAGAGCATTCATGACCTTTTCGCAATCGTTCAGGTGGACCTTGTTCTTGCCCGTTTCCAACCGGGACTTGCAGACTGACTGCAGGACTTCGAGTTCCTTCGCGACCCGGCTGCCTTCCTTGATAAGGCCTTCTTCATATGCGTAGGGTAAGTAGGACATGTACTGTTCATTTGGAGAAATCCAACCATTGCCAATCAATAGACCTTTCAGATTCCACGAAGCGATGGTCTTTCCTTGAACATTCTTGTTCCGTTCTTGAATGGCTTTGGCGATGTATGGAATATGCTGACCGGCGTAAGACTCGCCGGCAATGTAGATCTGTGGGAGATGTTAGTAGAGAATCCTTTAGGGTGCGAGAATTGCAGCATACATCATCGCGTTCATACTCCGGAAATAATCTGAACCACTCTTCCAGGAAGACAATGAACTGAGCCGACATCTCATCGAGCTCATGGAGATAACTGTCCGTGTTGACGTAACTGAACCCGGTTCCAACTGGCTGATCGACGAACAACAAATTGGCGAATTCGTCCCATGAACCCTCATTATATGTCAAGGTTTCATTGTCCTTCAGACGATACGGACCGACCTCCATCAATGCGCCGTCCATGGAACTACATCCGGGCCCACCGTTCAGCCAGATCACGGTTCGTTGGCGATTGGCGATATGGCGATTCTGATAGTGCCAAAAGAAAAGATTTCCATTGTTCTGTGGATCCACCTCGATATGGCTGCGCGTGGAGGCCACAAGTCAGTAAAATGGGTGCTAAGCGGACCGTTCCGGGATATTGAAGCTTACCCAGCATGCATCTTCAGCAAGGGCCCCTCGGGGGCACCGGGCAAAGAGTGAACATAATAGTCTGCGGCCGACTTGGCTGATACCAAGGACGGGCTCAGAAAAAGGAGCGTTGAGATCATCCAGGACGCCATTGAGGAAATGGAAGTGGTCTCCCCGCGGAATGATAAGGAGACCATGTGTAGGCGATTGGTACTGAGATATGGCGGCGGCGGCGGCGGCGGCGGATGACCGGGGTAGTAGTAGATAATGCCGAAGACGGCGCGGAGGAAACGGTGAGTCCCAAGTGGGATTGAAGTCGCGCTCAAGGAGTCATCGAATTTCAGCCAGCGGGGCCTTGCACTTTTCGCTTACCCGTCACCCTTGGGGGCGGAGGTAATGGGAAGCAACCCTCTCGGGGATTACGTCGGCGGAGAGGACCGGGAGGGAACCTGGTTCAGGAACAGGGATAAAGGTCAAGGCCAGAGGGAGGCGGGGTAGGAGTGTTTGTGACCTCTAGCACAAGAGCCGCTGTCCAGACACGCGCCAGATGTGAAGGTCAAGAGACTCTGAAGGGGAAAAGGGGAGGGAGAGGGCGAAAGATGGGAAAGGGAAGTGGATGAGAGAGACAGCTGAGGGAGAGAGTGGATAGAGAGAGCATAAGAGGATGGCGTGGCCAGACGGGGCGGCGCTCGGTATGGCCCCGTATCAGCCGGTATCTGGGAGATCCCGTTACGATTGTTACGCACCCTGAAGAGGCGTGAGAAGCGGCCTGATGGAAGGGATGAAACCATTCTGATACCGTTTCCAGACCGTCTCAGCCTATCGTTGCCTATTTGGGGGCTCTATAGGTTGCTTCTATAGAAAGACTCGAATCCCGTCGCATTCTCTGGTTCTATGGCTTTTCTGACTGTGTCTTTCTCTATGCATTGTGTGAATCGGCCAGATAGAACGCCACAATGTCCTCGTGGCAATAGCTCCAATGGTTATCTGACCATATCACTTTCCCTTTTCCGAAGCTATCCGTGATGTATTATTTCTCGCCGGTGCTAGCCAAGAGTTCGCCCGAATCGGGTCAGTCCTTAGGGTCCATGACTTAGTCCTTCTTCATCTTGCGGGTCTAGCGCTCATGATTTCTTATTATATTTCTCTCTTTAACTATCCTGTACAGAGGTTTATTTTTCGGACAAGCTACGTCCGTTGCTGGTATACCAGATTAAACAAGATCATCGATGCCCTGGTCAGCATCCTTTTTGATCAAGTCAACCATACCCTGGGGTTTGTCAGTGATATCGTGAGATGAGAAATGAAGACTCTGTGGGTGAGAGGTTCTTCCAGGACGCACCTTGGGCATGATTGGCTCTCCATCATCGCCCTTTACATAGCGGAACGGCATCTCGGTGCGTTCATGCTCGTTAATCAAAATTTCCGGGTAGTCAATGTACTGAATTTGCTCCAGGGGCACTGTCCCGGGGTCAGCTCTTGTCTCTCATCTCACTGTCCGGAGAAGCAGGGGTTGACCTTTCTCATGCACGACCATGCGCGTAACACGCACCGCCGTGTCCGTGGTCATCTGCTTAGGGCCCAGTCTTCTTCCGGCATAACCCTTCTTGCGCAGTTCGGAAGTCCGATCTAAATCCATTTCGTCAACAGCTTGAACCTCATGGTTACTGCTATTACAAAAGGGAAACTTACCACGAGGAGGATCATCGCCTGAAGACCAGCGGATCTCGACGGTTAGCTATCTTGGAAATATCATAATGCCAACTAGATACCTCCGACAGTCCAGGCTCGATGATTGGAAGCACTCACCAAGAATACCTCCGAAAAGGAAGACATCAAAAGTGTCTGCATCAGCGGGACTCAACTCCACGGTGGCAGCGGGGTCCAGCAGGCAGACTCTGGATTTCCGATCCGCAAAGATTTGCTCGACACTGCGATGCTCCACCCCAAGGCCTGGGGTAGCAGCCAGGTCTTCTGGCATCTGCAAGGAGGTGGGCACCGAACTGAGGAGAAATTTGCTTCCCGCGGCGTGTGATTCACGGGCAATGCAGCCATACTCCAGGGCGGACCAAGCGCCCAGCTCGGGGTCCAGATGTTCGACCACAATGGTCACGGGTTCCGAACCTTGCGCGGACATGGTGTCGCAATTGGAAGGATTTGATGTATCCTGCAGTTGAAACAATGGCTTAGAGCGTTTACAATTGGATGGGTGTATCAAGAGAGGTGGTCTGAACCAGACCAAAGTGTGTCGTCCCAGGTAGTTATACCTTGTTCTTCTTTTTTTCCCTTTTCTTGTCGTCAGAATATAACGGCAACCAAGAATTATGGGAATAGGAAAAAATAAAATGTCCCAAGATAATTCAGGATTATGAAAAGTATGGACAGAGAGAGAGAACAATGGGGAATAGCCTACGTGGAAATAAAATCCAGCAAAGACTGGAAGAAGAGATGAGTGCGATGCGTTCGTGGAGGGGCAGAATGGGGAAGAACTGCTGAATTTGATTCCGTTTGAAGAAGTCAATTCGAGGTCGAATACCGAGTACTAATAATACCACCCCGACAAGTTCACCACCACCACCATCACATTACCAGTCCCTATTTACATCTTGCAATTACTAGCAATTACTATCAGGGGACTTTGAAGCAGATGAGGATGAGGCAGTTTACTTCTAATCGAATATTTGCATAATTAAATAAATAAAAAAAAAAGAGTGATTTGTTGGATATTCTCTGCATCTGATTTCACAATGAAACCATGGAGGGGTTGGCTGGGTTTGGTTTCTAATCGATAAACCGGCAACTTATCAAGGCCAACAACGATAAAGACTATCGGCACTTGAATCTAAGTAGTAGTTCTTTTATTTACTAATTGCACTAAAACCACTGATGGCATTGACACCGCCGTCAAGCAGAATTACATAGGTCTATGGTGAACATGAAATTGTACAACAGTCCATACACACGTTAAATTAACTCTTGTGAATTACCGATTGATTTATGCTGGAAGTGAGTTGCCGGCAAGGTCGGTATTGGTATGTAACAGTATAGTCACGAGGTAGTGGAGCCGTTCCAGAATAC